TTACTTACTTACTTACTTACTTACTTACTTACTTACTTACTTACTTACTTACTTACTTACTAAGTAATTTATTTCAAGTACTTTACATACTTTTATCCACAACATACGCTAAAGGTGCTAACAGATCATGCAAGATTCTGTAAAATACTGCAGTATTACATAAGAGTAATTATTTAAGGTTTGACGTAAATGAGTACAACTCTGTTGTTTGTTTATTGTTGATCCTGGTCTCGTCTATGAAAGGAATGCCAGGCTTGTAGTTTGTCTCTGTGATAACTGCAGCCTGTAACTGACAGACTGCATTTTCTCCTGACCCTGGAAACAATAAAATGGCAATAAAAACTGAATGAACAAATAAAGTAATGATGATGTAATGAGTTGGGTGCAGCAGTATTTGTTTGTGCATGAGAAAAGCTCCATCTATTAGTTTGTTTAAATGCTCTGTTGACTGACTTTGATTCGTATCTTATTTTTGGATTTGATGGAATTAGGAAAGCAGAACCTAACAGATGGTTTGTTGGTGCACCATGACTGGTTGGCCTGTTGCAATTTTTCCAATTTCACGACAGATTTCTGACCACCTGCCACCTGCTGCTTTTGGATCATTTCCACACATGAAACATTCCTTTTATTTTACAACCTCCCACTCAATGTTTGTGGTCAGTAAAAACATGATAAGAAACATTTGTTCATGTTAGGCAGGACTACACATACATACAGTTAGCGTGCACGAAATGCACTCTGTTGAGATCCTTTTTGGTCCACGTGTGCAATTGTTTGCCGCCTGTCTACACCTGCATACTTGAAGCCATTCCAATCATTCAAACTTCTAGTTGTTAAGAGCATTCAGGTGATGATTGTTGACTTTTTGTACTATTAAAGTTTTTGAAATATTAAGCTTTTCTTGAGCCTCATTAGGATACATTGGGAAAATGTCAGCAGTTTGGTTTTGCTCCAAACCCCCTGATAACTTGATGATAGAAGTCTTCAGACTTCCAGAAGACTCCAATGCTCTCCAATTAGCCAGCTACAGTCCAGCCAACCCACAGGCTCTAAAGTTATTTCTTATCCAATGCTGCCACTTTGAGCTGATTTCCCATCGTCTGCCTCTTCTCTGTTTCAGCAGCATTGATTAGAGCAAAGAATAATGATTGTGGTTTTAATACTGCATGACTATTTTGCATAATTTCAATATTTTTTATTTTATGTCACACTTTAACTCATTTATTTATTTATTGTTATGGTTTATTGTGTTCAGTATTATTTTTTACTATTTATTATTTATTGGCACATTGGCCAGTGACAGTTGTTTTTAAATCTACTATTTTAATTAGTTAGATTTGATAACAGGCTTCTATGTAGTGTAAAATAAAATGTTAAAAATGTTGCACATTTTCATTATTTACCTCACGTTCTCAGTGTAAAATCCTGGTTTTAACACATTTCTATTAACATTTTATTGTTATTTTTGCTCACATTTCTTATGTTTTGCTAATTTTGAACTGTTCAATTTGAATTTAGATTTTAAATACTATCTTCAGTAGCATTAGCAGCTTTAGAAATGTTGTCAGTCTGTCCCTGAAGCATGATCCTACCATCTGCTACTTTATGCTAAAAGAAATACTTCTGGGAGGGCTTTGTTTGATGTTTATCATGTAGCATTTAGCTATACCACTTGATGACAGAATGGATTTGTTTTCAGTCTTTTGTCACCCGCAATGTTTCCTAGAAAAAGGGAACATTTAGAATAGAATAGAATAGAATAGAATAGAATAGAATAGAATAGAATAGAATAGAATAGAATAGAATAGAATAGAATAGCCTTTATTGTCCTGCGGAGGGGAAATTCAGGTGTCACAGCAACATCAGTACAGAGGTTCACACACTAGTTACTTTACAAACTATAGACAGCACACTACTGTTGGCAACACATGTAGATTTTTAGTGCAAAAAAATAAGATAAAATAAAAAAAAAACTCAGATGTTTCCACAATTCATTGTTAGTGTACAGACGTTACAGTCTTATCAATCAGTTCATAAACTATTTTCTACTGAATTTGTCACGGTCTGTCTGTGTGGGTGTGTGTACCGCAGCTCCTCCTACCTGTCTCTGCTCAAGCCCCGCCCACACTCACCTGCCCCTCATGTTTCTCTCCCAGGTGCTTCTTGTTGTAGCTCGTTAGTTCCCCTTTATTAAAACTGTTTACCAGATATAAATTAGCAAACCTTTGTAATTGTGCATGGAAATAATTATTTTCAGGTCTTTATCGAGCTTAATCAGTGTTCTGGGAGTATTTTTTTCAGCACGTGCGCAAATGAGCTGATCGTATGGATCGTGCTTCTAGGACAGATCGAACACTAAACAGAAAGTGTTTGCTAAGAATGGACAAAATGTAAAAACAGTGATTTAGATAGTAATAAAATGTGGGAAATTATTTTTAACTAGGATTTTTACACTCAGAAAGTGAGCTAAATAATGAAAATGAGTTTTAACATTTTATTTTGCACTTGCCACACCATCAAATCTTAGATAAAATTGTTAATTTACTGTTAAAAACTCAGCATTTTAGTCATTTTGCCCACAGCTTTGTTCCACCACCTTACTGCTAACAACACTCTGGCCTTTATTCACAGCAAACAATAAAACCTCAAGCAGTTTATAGTCAGCCTCTGTGTTTTTAGCAGCAGATTATCCTCTCAAGTTTTTCAGTACCTTCAACAAATAAAACAACTGCATTCTGTCAGGCCCTAATTATGCGCAAGTTTCAGGTAGATTTCTTTTGTTTCTGTCTTACAGAACCATGCAGTCCACTAGCAACCAAGGGCAGCCACAGCAGTGCCCCTGCAGGTCCCCAGGGTCTCAAGAAACATTTTGTGAGAGGAAGGCTAGACTGTGACAATCAGCAGCCAGACCCTGACCGCCTTTTCCAGCGCTGTTTCATGGCAACTGTTACTTCTGTCAATGTGGAGAGCCACGCGTAGGAGAGACATCCATTAAGCTTTTTGTTTAGCTTTAATTTGTATATATGCATTCAGCACCAATGTTTAACTATCATAAGTGACTGTTGTGTGTTTTCGAATTAAAGGCCCAGCATTCTCTTAAAAAATGCCTTCTGCTGCCTGATGTAGATGTAGACAAATGTATTGTGACTTACAGCCACACCAAATCGGTAAAATTTACAGAATTACAACCATTTTTGTGCTCTCTAAGATCACCTGGTTGTAGTGGCCATCTTAAATTGGATTAACTCAAAGTTAATCAGCTGTAGTTGTGCATCCAATGATTATTTTATGAGAGCTTTAATACAGTTCATCCAATCGTACATAAAATATTTTGCTTAAGCTACAATCAAATGACTGCACACATACAATATCATGGCGGGCAATATCAATAAATGACGTAATAAGTATTTTTTGACAATCTAAATTGTACTTTGTCTTTTTTTGTGCCATCAGTGCCTATAGACTTTCTGTTATTACAGATACAGATTTAAATGAAATATACCCCTAAAAACAGCTGAATAACTTTTTGTCTTAGCACCTAAAATGTAAAGGAATGGAGAAACAGTGAATTGTGGGGTTTATAGGAGCAGATATGCTGCTGGGAAATAAAGGTGGACCTTTTGACTGGTGTGTTTTCTTGCCTTGGGTTTTTGTGCTTACTCAACATAGTTCAATGATTATTCAACATTTAAAACAACTGATCAGTTTCAACTTGTCATGGCTGAATTTCAGAAGAAAAGAGTAAAAGTTAATAAAAGAAAAATGCCAATCACTCATTTTTTCTATTAGTTTGATGCATAATTTAAGGTTGCATCTCAACAGAGCTGCTATGTTTGGACTCCTGCATGACTTTCCTCTGACAGAAAACAGAACCTGGTCTAAAAACCATAAGATGATAAAGAATGAGTTTTGAAAAACTGGTTTAAAACTGCCTGTCATTATTTCAAAGGTGAACTCCAGCAGATTAAATCATAAAAGCACCAAGATGGACACAAAATGGGCATCCAAATAATGTGCATGAAAAAAAAAAAGATTTTAAAGATGTGCACAAAATCTGGGCCATGATTAAACTGGACACTCAAACTTTCAGCCATATGGTTTCTGGTCACTTGGTCTCAAGCACTCCAAATTCAGTAGACAGTACTAAAAAAATCAAGTATTTTCTCACAATTTTCCTACAACGTTTAGTTATAGGAAAGCTTGTCCCTCATCAGTCACAGCTGAGTGAGATGCTCTCTTAGGCTTTCAGATGAACAGATTTTCTTAGATGGTAGAAACCTGGGAGTAATTTGTGTCGGAACTGAAGTTTGATTGACTCTAATTTGAAAGACCAATCTCCAAAAAGGATGCAACAATGGAAGAAGATGGTGGAGGGAATATTGGTCACAGCATTACCTAAAAAAAAGAAAGAAGAACAGCTTAGTTTATGATTGAATTGTGATTGATTGAGTTGTGCTTCTGGTATTTTTGCTGAAAACTGTCCAAAACCACTAAATATGACCCGAAAAATGTTTTAGCTGGTGTTTGACTTGGTGATTGACTTCTCTAGTGGCACTCTGTGTTTCTTGGTGGTTTGTCTCTTTAACTATTGGATGAATAAAAAACTGATTAGTTTAAAATATATTTATGTTTGTTCATATCTTCATTAATGTATTTTGTATCTTGTGCTAAATTACCAGTCAACATGCTAAAGATGATGGCACTACAGCATGGTCTTTGTGAGCAACTAAACTGTTAGCATTTAGCTCAGAACGTGTTCTGTGTGTTTTCTAAGCCCAATAACTGAAGTATAATGGTCTAAGCATGTCAATGCTTAAGCACCTCTTGCTTTAAAGCATGTATTCTCAAAAGTTATTAAACTTCTGAACAAGTCTTGTGTGCTGTCTTATGTTATTGCTCATTGAGTGATGACTTTGGTTCTGATCACCTCTGCCTGCTATGAGTTTTTACAGGCTCCATGAGGTGGGTTATGGTAGTAGTTGAAGACATTTCACTAGCAAAGAAGAGTTTGAAGTTCCAAATTTAAAATGCAATGCTCTGTTAATGGAAGCGTGGCACAAGCCCCCGGGCCAAACTTTTGTGATTGGTCAGAAGTTTGTGGGCATGTTTGTTTGTGTTTTAAAAAAGTGCTCAGACAACAATGGCACCATTTTACTTCAACGTCTCCTCTTCAGAAGTCGACTGTTGTGCCTCCAAACAACATGGAAGGTTTTGAGGAGCGGTTGTCCGAGGCAGTCAGGAAGTACGTCCATCACGACACAAATAGTCAAATGACCAAAACTTCCTGAATGGAGGCAGAGCAGACGATGTGCACAGAGGAATTCATCTGCCAAAAAATGTGGCGCTCTATCTGTGATAGATTTGTGGCCCATCGATGGATAGTGTGGACTTCAGTGGGAATAAACCTGTGTTGTGACGTGAACATCAGCAGGCAGGGTTTCCCTGGATCTCCGTGCCGTGTGTGTCATGGACCGTAAAAAGTGTGTGCGAAAATTAATGTTGAGCAACCACGACAGTGTCGACTGTTGGGCTTCAGGTGGAGCATGCTGGAGTCTTAAGCCCAGTCTACAATTGAGATGTTGTCACATGTGCAAAGGTACGTGAAAATGACACCTAAAGGGCTCTCTAGACTTCTTTAGATGTGAGACATGATTTGAGTCTTCTTTTGTTTATACTAAGAAGAGAAACCGCAAGGTGAGAAGTCCTGATGGTCCTCCCTCTGCAGCCCACGTCAAACACAAAGTCAACACAGGCTGTGCATTTGACCAAGTAGACATTTGTTTGCATTTAATGACAGAGTTGGAAGAGGAAGATCTAGTATTTCTGTCGTTAATGAGGAGAATGTGTGCTGTTTTACATTTGTCATAAAGAGACTGTCACCATTTCTGATAGACAACCTGTTCCCATCGGTGGCCCTGTATTGGAACATTAGGTTACAGGCATTGTTGGTCCACTTGAAAGAAGCAAAGCTGGAAACTGTTACATGCTGGTGATCACAGACTAGTAAATATCCCGTAGCATTTTCTTTAAAATCAAAGCAAAATCTGTGGCGTTCTGTCTGCTGCAGTTTTTTTTTTCTTTCAAGAGTTGGATTTCAGCTCAAGGCACTAACTTCATGTCTACCCTTTTAAAACAGCAGGTGTACCAGCTGCTGGGGATTGAGTGTGCAAACTACTGTTTATTATCCACAGACAGACTGATTAACAGAAAGGTTCAGACACATAAACAAATGCTTCATAAGTTTGTAGATGAGACCAGCTCTGATTGGGATCAGTGGTACCCTGTCCTGTCTTTGCCTAAATACCATACCATACCATACCATACCATACTATACCATACCATACCATACCATACCATACCATCTTTATTTATAGAGCACTTTAAACACCCACAGGACCAAAGTGCTGTACACATAATAAAACATGCATACATTCATAAAATCAATATAAAATGAAAATAAAACATAAAAACAACACTACAAATTGTGTTCAAAGGGCAGAGAGAAAAGATGAGTTTTAAGAAGAGATTTAAAAACAGACAGGGATGACGCCTGTCTGATGTCCAAAGGAAGGTCATTCCATAATTTAGGAGCTGCCAAAGAAAAAGCACAATCATCTCTAAGCTTACGCTTATTCTGGGCATAATCTGGAGCAGCTGATCAGTTGACCTGAGGGATCGAGAGGGCCTATAGGGTTGTAGCAGATCGGACAGATACGACGGAGCAAGACCATTAAGAGCTTTACAAGCAAAACTTTAAAACAAATCCTAAAATATAACGGGCAGCCAGTGCAGGGAGACTAAAACAGGAGAAACATGATCAAACTTTTGTGTGCCAGTTAAAAGACGTGCAGGGTCATTCTGTACCCTCTGCAGCTGTGAGATACAGGACTCACTGATGCCTGTACAAAGTGTGTTACAGTAGTCCAGCAAAGCGTGGACTACTGTCTCATAATGTTTCTGAGAGAGAATTGGCTTTACTTTAGCCAGCTGCCTCCGATGATAAAAACGATTTCACAAATGTTCTGATGTGGTTCTCTAACTTAAGTCCAGCATCAACTTTTATGTCTAGATTAGTAATCAAAGGCTTGATGTACTGGGACAGTGAACCAACATCCACATCAGGTGTCACAGTGGAGCTTCCAAAGATCATCATCTCAGTTTTGTTCTCATTAAACTTTAAAAAATTCACTCCCATCCATCTTTTATTTCCTCTAGACATAAAAACAGAGGGCTCGGAGAGTTGGTGTCCTTTTTCTTTAAAGGGACATATATGTGGGTATCATCGGCATAACAATGAAAAGCAATACCAAATTTCCTAAGTATAGAGCCGAGTGGGAGCAGGTACAGCGTGAAGAGGAGGGGTCCTAAAACTGAGCCCTGCAGGACCCCACATACAAGAGGAGCAGAAGAGGAAACACTGTCACCAAGACGGACATGGAAAATAAGCCCAGCCTACAGGGAAGTTCTCCAGGCCTCTGCAGGGTTCTTCCTGTTATCGTCACAAAGTGAGGGGACTTCTGGTTTTATTAAGAGACCCGCTGCTAATCTTCCTATGTTGTACAGATGAGAGGGAGGCCATGGCTCAGCAGCACATACCCAGCAGAATAAGAAAACATGAGCTTGGCAGAGGACCTTTACTACGAGTCAGAAGGTCCTAGTCCTGCTACTGTTCAGTACTGGCAAGTTTCTGCCCTAGTGGCAGCGCCCATTTAAAGTTGGAAAAACAGTGTGAAACTACCACCAAGTTGCTAAGACAAAGAAACCACGCTATTTCTAACTGTTAAGTAAAAATCATCCATGTTAGTGAAGCATCATTTTCCCTTTAAACTTCTTTATAGAGCATGCAACTCTGAAATCAAGAAGGCACTAATCACTTTTCCAAAGAAACAACTTTACGAAATGATGTTTGAATTTAAGTAATCCTAACAAGATCATCTTAGTTGCTGCTCTCTGTTGTTACTCAGCAAGATGGAGGAAAATAATTATGGAAGAGATTCATTAAATCAGGTTACAGCATTCTCCGTTTAACATCTACTGTAATGAAACTGATGATCAGAGTCTGAGACGTCAGTTTACGTAAACTCAAACTCTAATAAAAATAGTCAGAAAAACAGCATTTTGAGGATATAACCAGATGATGATCTCATCTGTTTTAGTTAAGAGCATTTAACTCTATTCTAAATAAAGGATATATTAAGTTATCACTTTCAGCATTACATAAATACTAAAAGCCCCCACTCATGACTTGGTCAGGATTCAATAATAAGTCAAATAAGTCTGAGAAATCAGACAAATGGAGAATAAGTCTTTGGTGGACAATAAATAACAGTTTTTTTTCTCTTTGATTTCTACTTTGGATGAGAGAGACTGAGAGTCAAGGTCCCAAAATAATTATAACAAATATGTCTATTTGGTTTAATGAGCAATCCTTACAGAAAAATAACAGCTACTTCTCCACCTTGACTTATTCTTGGAATAAAATAATTTTATTCACTCTTTGAGTCAAGAGTGTCCTTTATCCCTAAAATTGTTCTTAAGAGCTGCCTCCCTGTGTGGACTTTCATTTTCTCATATATGTACTGATTATTTCATTTGTACTGGCAGAAACAGATGTATAATGTCTGTACAGGTTTCTAAATAAATGCTAATTTAGCATAGATGAATTGCATAAATGTTCTATTGTGCTAAATTAATATTTATTATATTTAAATGTCTCAAAGACAGAGAAAATGGGCAAGTCACTTTGAACCCATATTACTCAGCTTGAATTTAACGTCTCCCTCTCTCCGACACCCACCACCCTTCAGTAAGACAGGAATCGGAGGAATGAAACATTTAACACTTCAGACAAATAAAGTTGTATTGAAGCACAAACATTTGTGTTTTTGCAGATGAGCATGAATTCTCGTGCAAAGAAAACAGCGAGGGTAACTCAAATTTCAAAGTAAAAGTTTAATTGATTATAACTTGTTAGTCAACAATTTGTTTTTATTCTGGAAATTATCAGTTTAAAATTTAAAAAGCAGAACAACAATGTAACCACTTTAACTGTTTTGTGCCTCAATTATTGAACAACCAACTCCACTAGTTTTCCTTGAATAAATTTCCACCTTCCATGTCAGAGTTTACCYATAAAAATCATKTTATTTTGATAAATGGAGTTATAACTTGATCAAACATACAAAGTAGCATTRTGCACAATCTCATATGACATTTAAGATCTATTAGAGCTTGAATTAAATATTGTAGACAACTGTCAGCTACTCATACACTAGATTTTTGATCGATGTCTCTGAAATRCACTGAGGTGTAGCCAGGGTTTGGTTTTCTAAACAGTTTGCTGTTGCAGCCGTCTTGATTTGAAGCAACTCTAAAAGTAGCAGATGAACATTCAACAATTRTGTTTTGAGTTTCACTGAATGCAGTGCAGATATTTTGCTAATGTTTGGTTTCTGAGGGTTTAAGCAAAGATGTTGCACAATGTGTTGCGAACAATGCTCAGTTGCAAGTTTTAGCTTTAACAGATGTAAAATTAATGTCACAATATTTGTGTTGAGGGCGATTAGTTGTGGCAACCTTTTTGAATCAGGTAGACCAAAAAAAGTTCATCAGTCATCAGAGCAATGRCTATTTTGTGAAAGTGTCTGTGCTTCACAAGATTTTTGTTGATGATATAAACACACACGCCGACAAAAATGAGCAAAAACATTACAGCAAAGTGTGCTGAAATATTGCTTCAACCATAAATCTTATTTTCCTTGACTTTAAATG